CCACTGGGCACACTTTCAGGAGTGACATTCTTAGTATTGTTCGTCGCCATTGGGTTGACTAGTTCTTAAGATTTTTAGCGACACTAGCGGAGACGTGAACGAGGTACAAATTGCTTGAGTCGTGCCTGAAGGACACTATCCTTTAGAACTATTCCGGTACACCTTCTGATGACCGACAGTTCTCCAGGATTAAACAAGCACTTCCTTGGAGGAACAAGGGAACGGAACAATAGAGACTAAAAGTAAACACAGACGAATAGATAGAGGGAGGAGAGAACCCCGAAAACTCAAAAGGCTTGTTCCGCTCTATCTGCACCCATGGCTATATATAGCCCGAAGGTGGAGACATGAATGTTGGGGGGTTACCACCAGATTAAAGGCTCGGTTATACTGTCATAAAAACTATTTAAACACTTGTCTAGAAACGTTGTGATTATGCAAACATAAAATGCATTTAACCTCTTGTCTGGAAATGTTGGGAAGACAAAACGTCTAGAAAATTAATCTGGTTAATGGTCAAAAAACATTCTTAGTTTGATTTTAAACTTTAGACAGCCAAAAATTGAGTTTCTCCAGCTAGCCAAAACTAATTATTTATTTTGTAAAAATAATCCGGTAAAAGGAATCCATTACCTCTTGAACTCGGGGCGAATCGACTGATTTTAACTGCAATTTTCCTGAGTTGGCCTGTTTTATGTGCGCGAGACCATTTCTTCTCCAAGCTCATTTTACTATCTCACTTCATTCCTTAGTATATATACACTAGGAGAGTCTTTCTTTTAGTCAATACGGGACTTTGACACACATACAACAAGCTTCCCTTATTCTCAAATAAAGATTTTCAGACCATCGTGTGCACAAGTTTCTTCCGATATAAGAGTTATATTTCAAAAGAACCAATCCTGTGCTTCTTACTATTATGTTTTTCACCATTTCAGAATAAGCTTGTTTATTCAGGAATAAGTATGAAGAAACTTTCTCTATTTCTTGCATCTATGATAGGGAAATTTTGATTCTCTCTCTAATATCTTTCTTCTCACTTTTTGAGAGTCATGTTAATTATTTAATCTTCTTAGAATCATTTTAAACATAACTTTGGGTTGGATTAAACATTCCTTGATTGTTCCAAATATTCTTACTCTTGAATAGCTTTCATTCTTCTGGTATAATAATCAATGATAATATTGTCAGAGCATTAAATACATGAATGTCGTTATGTTTGCTTTTTGCTCCAACACGTAAACCCATATGAAAAGCTACCATTTTCCATGATCCTTTTTAGGTAACAATATTGTTGCAAAGCAACAAACCTGTATTCATATCTACAATGTCGAGGATCGAAGAGTAATGAAAATTTGATTGTGTCTAACAGATACTTTACAAGACACAGGAGAAACTCTATCAAAAGCAATAGATAGACTTATACTTTATGAAGAAGATCAGAAGAGAGAAGGAGAGTACTTCAATGGCTATATTAATGAGTCTAATGGATCACTTATCAACTCCAACTATAAAAGGATTCATTTATGAAGATCAAAGTAGAGAAGTAATAGTGCACAAGCTGTGATATTCAATACTCTCAACTACTTCTATTTTTATCTTTAATGTTGTTGTACTTTAATGTATTTATCTACTCAATAAGCAAGTTTGTATTAGGATCACTTTGTGATCAAATTCTCTCTATTATTTATCTGAGTAGACTTAAGATCAAGGAATCTTAAGTGGACGCTAAAATTACCTTTGGAAAAGGGAGAGAAACAAACTTGTAAGTGGCTTCACAAGTACCCAAATCGAACTTGTGAGATTTTTATAAAGGAGAGTGATACAGACATTAAATTTGAGATTGTATTGTGTCTTCACAAGTGCCCAGATTGCACTTGTGATTATAGTGGAAATATCAGGAGGTTCTCGAGAATTGGACACAGGCCAAGTGGATTGAGCTGAACTAGGATAAATTTTTTGTGTATTACTCTTTATCTATCTCATCTTCATTAGCTTTATTTGTCCCATCAACATTCATATTCTAAGTTTTTGTAATCATGAACTTTTGGTGAAAAATCAAAGGACATCCAATTCACCCCTCTCTTGGGTGACTAGCATATCTTACATTGGCCTTAATGGGATTATATTATGTGGTAAAATTTATCTAACATATGACCCCCAACCATATACTAAGATATCATGCAATTAAAAACAATTTCAATATACATAAGTGCATAACATATTAAAAATCATACTTTTCAATACACTTTTTTCATTTAAATGTTTTCTCATAAGCATTTAATATTCCACTTGGCAATACATTTTCTCAACAAAATAGAGTTTAATCCAATACATGAATTCTTATCACATATATTTCATGATTTAAAATACACATAATTAATCACAAAAAAAAACAATATAATATCAAGAAGTGGTTGTCTCTATTCTTTAATGGTAAGATTCCCCAAACACAAAAGTGATCACCTAATGTGTCCATGATACAATTATGCTAATTAATAATAACTAATATTAATTATAGTTGATTAGAATACCTAACATTAACCTCGTGTTAATCACAGGGTTGGATTAGTTAACCTCATTAATCTAGAAAAATTCCATATGAATGATGAAGTGAATAACTCTCACATTAGGTAACAAATTAATGATCCAACCATTAAAAGTGATGAGTTGGATATTATAAATTTCATGACCAAATTTTAGCCCAATCTAATTGTTAATAAATATTCAAATGCCAATTTACCAAGACTGCTTTGTGAAGAGTTGAAAATAGTCATGAACAACAAAGTGAATAACTCTTACACTAGTTAACAAATTAGTGATCCAACCATTGAAAATGAAGAGTTGGATGTTATGAACCTATTGACCAAATTTCAGCCTAATCCAATGGTTAGTGAATTTTCAAATGCTTATTTACCAAGATTGCCCTATGAAGATGTGGAAATAGCTTTTTTGTTTCTTCTCTCTTGAATGACTGTAGTTCAGTCTTGAATATGACCCCTCTCCCTAAACCTAATTGACCCCCCTCCATTTTATTTAGCAACATTCATAATGAACTTCAATATTGAGCCTTTCTCTACATAGGAAGGGAGTTCAAATTCATTAACTTCAATTTTCTTCAAAAATACAATTTAATTGTCAATAAACCTCATAATTTTCTCAATTAAATTTCTAAATAAAACTGAAATTTTACAGAAAGTATATGGGGAGAAGTGCCATGAATAATGGTTTGTGATATGTCATATCACCACATAACAGATAACTTCACGTCACACTAACAGAAGGGCATTTTTGCTCTGCTAAAATATAGTTTAGGGGGATAATTTTTCCTCTTAAAAGTATAAAGTGCCAAACACCCCTCAAAAATAAATATAGAGATAAAATTGAATCTTAACTCTTATTATTATGATTAATTGACTATCAATTGTAAAGATGGACAAGATTGAAAAGTTACATTTTTTATAATTTTAAGGATATAATTATTATTTTTTAATAAACACAAAATTACTTAACTTTTTCTTGTGTTCCCTTCAATCCTAAATATAAGTTACTCCTTAGAAGAGGTTCATGGTCTATTTTGAGTTATTTTGTCTAAAAATATGGTTGATTAATTATTTTCTTTCAATTTTATCCTTTCACAACTTTTTTTTAGAAGAGATTAACAATTTATTGAAGAGAGAAAATATTTTTAAAGATGATACATTTAAAAAGAATATATTAAAATTTTTTTAAACTATATAAATAATTTAAATAGTTAGAAGTGATTTATTTGTAATGATGAAAATGTATTAAAGATAGTAGGGAATATATGCAATGAGAAGATTTGACTTTTTTTTTTTGAAATAATAACTAAAAAATGGGCCATACGATGCACGGGATTTGGGAGAAATTCGTTTATTTGTTTGTTTTTTTCTCTCTTTTTTAACATGATATTATAAAATTATAATAAAATTCTTTTTTGACCGAATAATAAATTTTTTATTAAATGTTAAAAGTCATGATCAGCATGCTTTAATTTTTTTTAAAACAAAGCGACAAAAATATAATGAACATAAAAAAAATGTAAAAAAAATTGTATTTTGAAAAAAATCATTGGTAAGATTTATCATCCATACAAGAAGCATATGATAAGTTATTTTAATAATAACTTATTATTTTTTATAAATAAGAGTTAAGTTTAGTAAAAAAATGTTACTTCCTTATAATGTGACAAATTAAATTTTAAATTTTCATTAGGAAGATACTCACACTTAGTACCTAATCATGTGATAAATATAATTGATTATAATAGGATGATACTATTGATCAATCAAAGAACTTGTTATTTTTTTACAATTTTTTTTATTTTTATGCATACAAAAAAAAATACCTTGTTTTATTTCTGAACTTATTACCAGTAAAAAAAATTAAAAGATAATTTAAAAACTATATAAATATATTAATATAATAGCATAAAAAATATAATATAAAAATAATTTTTAAGTGTTAATAGTCTCGCTGAAACATGCTTTAATTTTTTTGAAAAAATAAAAAAAGTATGACAATAATATATTATAACAAAAAGTTGAGACAAAACAATTAAATTTGTATTAAAAAAATGATGGTTGGTCTCATAATTACGATTAATTTTACTATTTTTTATTTAAAAATATATTAGCGGGTTTTACCGTTACTGTTAATTTTACTGTCATTTAAAAGTATTTTTTTTTAATAATAAGATAAAATGTACTCTTATTTTTTCGATCTCATTTATAAAACGCGTTTTGTAAAATTTATTTAATTTTATTTATAAATTATGATATAATTTTTTAACTAATGTTTAAAAAATATTTTTAAAATTATTTTTTATAAAAGAAAAAAATAATATAACATAATTTTTTAAATTTATTATATAAAAATATATTTAAAATTTTATATAATTTTATTTTTTTTATCTTTTTTTATATTAATAAAATTGACAGACTTGCAAAAAGTACACGAGGAGTAATGTAATAGGTGGGAATTACTAAGTACGAACCTATCCCGATTCGGCCACCCACTCTCCGATGGTCCGCCACCCCCTCTCCTGCGTCGAGTCGTCTGGCCTCCGTCCAGACTCTGGCAAATCGCTCTAAATAATATTGATTTCTTCATGAATGGGTGTGACCACAGTCTCGAACAAATAAGTGATACAGAGAGGTAAATCTGATTGAAAGCCATACTTGAATTAATGATTAGATTAGTACATAGATTTATGGATAGCACGTTTACAAAAGGGGCTAGCGTGATTTGGCTTGTTTATGTCTAGTCCGGTCTGTTTGATAGTTCTAACCACGAGTTTTGCAACTCAGCTAGTTTACATTTGCATATGAAACATGCTTGAAACCGTGAACCTTAACTATCACCTTTCTTTTTGATTTTGGTCAACACTACATTCTTATTCTATTACATAAAATAAATATTCTTTCGATTGCAGATTGAATTCTGTTGTTTTGACCTGTTTGTTCACCCCGATTTTCGATTCTATTACTGAACGGTCTGTCTGTTTTCTTCAGGCTTCAGGGTTTGTTTCTTTTACAAAACCAATTCAAATTTGAATTTAGATAACCACAAAGCCATAACTATGTCTGGGTTGGAGGAATTGAGAAAAAAACTTGCACCATTATTTGATGCTGAGAAGGGCTTTTCGACAGGTTCGACCTTGGATCCGTGTGATTCGTACACAGTAAGTCTCTTTCTGTGTCTATGTGCTACATATATCTATATGTTTTCACTTGCCATTGAGGAGCATAACAATATATAAAATTTGTATAATGAGTTTCTATATTTCTAATACCTATTTTCTTTGATTGTAATCGATGAATTAGTTATCAGATGGTGGAACTGTTAACTTGTTGAGCAGATCATATGGAGTGTACAATATCAACGAGCTTGGACTGCAGAAGTGCACATCTCGATCTATAGATGAAACTGATCACAGTGAGAAAACGTATAGATGCGCTTCCCAAGAGATGAGAATATTTGGAGCGATTGGTAGTGGTGCCAGTAGTATTGTGCAGAGAGCCATACATATACCAACACATAGAATTATAGCATTGAAGAAAATCAATATCTTTGAGAAGGTATTCTTGTGGCACTTTGCTATACATCTCTATGTAGCATGTACCGCATTTGAGTTTTTTTTTTTTTTTCCCCATTGAATGTACAATATGTAAGTTATCTTAAATTCTTAATGCATCAGAGAGTTTGTCTAGGAACTTTGCATTTATGACCATCAGTTAAGCATTTTATTTAATATTTGCCGAATATATTATCTGTCTGTCAAAACATAGTATTTTGTTATTTCATAGAATGACAAGTAATAAAATTATGGTCAGTTAATGTTCTGAAGTTTCACATAAATAGGCATTTAAGTATGACCATTGCTGGTGTCCTTCCCCACCGCGGCCCCCCCTCCAAAAAAAAAAAAAAAAAATTACAGATTGATACCATGGTACTCCCTTATTGTCTAATGATTGCTCTTTGTCATGTCAATTAGGAGAAAAGGCAGCAACTTCTTACTGAAATAAGGACATTATGTGAAGCGCCTTGTTACCAAGGTCTTGTTGAATTCCATGGGGCATTCTACACTCCAGACTCTGGACAGATAAGCATAGCTTTGGAGTACATGGATGGAGGATCACTGGCAGATATCTTAGCAATGCATGGAAAAGTACCTGAGCCTATTCTTTCAGCTATGTTTCAGAAGCTTCTACATGTAAGGAAATATGCTTATGTTTTCATTCCAAACTTTTCATTATAGAATATAAAATGCTAACTGCTGTAATACTTTGTCTTTTATCTTCTGGAAGGGGTTAAGCTATCTGCATGGAGTCAGACATTTAGTCCACAGAGATATAAAGCCGGCTAATTTACTTGTAAATCTCAAGGGGGAACCAAAAATTACTGATTTTGGTATCAGTGCTGGCTTAGAGAATTCAGTGGCAATGGTTAGTATAGATATTACATCATTATTAGTTTCTGTCATTTATCACCTCCTTGAAATAAGCTAAGTTAGATTTTGTGTTTGGCTGTGACGACTGACTAAGTTATGGAGTTTATGTTCATTTGTCTATGGATGTAATTTTGCAGTGTGCTACTTTTGTTGGCACTGTGACATACATGTCACCTGAGAGAATTCGAAATGATAGCTATTCTTTTCCTGCTGATATATGGAGCCTTGGTCTTTCTCTCCTTGAGTGTGGAACTGGAGAATTCCCGTATACTGCTAATGAAGGTCCTGTAAATCTTATGTTGCAGGTGATTGTCAATACTTATTGTTCTTATTTTTTCCTTTTTTTTTTTTTTGGGAATCATTTTGGATGCTGTCTCTCATGATTGCTTAGAATTAAGAATGTTTTGGCTTCACTTGCGCCTGTCACTTGCGTGAGGACTTTTCTCATCTGAATCATGAAGCCTCAATCACACAGAGGAGAGTAGAGGATAATTAATTTGATCTTGCAACAATACCTTAAGCTTCTAATAAATGAAAATTAACTCACGATGAATTTGATCATGAGCTATTTATCTGTGCTTTTTTCATTACTCTGCATTATCTAAATTAGCATGAATTTGATCTCTGCACCGGATGATATTCTCATGGCAGTTCACTGTTTTCTATGTTGTGACTATTAGAAGATAGTTCTAACCCTGCTGCCTCAGATGATTATCGATAACTATCAAATTTATTCAAGTGATATGCATACACGAGCTTCCTATGATATGCTAATAATTAAATTTGTTTAGTGGCTGATTGTTAGAACTAATGGATTAGTCAGAATAGAACTTAATTATCAGAACTGGATAAGAATCTCATACAATTTAGATAAATCCAAAGGGGGAGAATCTCAGATAAGTATAAACTGAAACATTCATATTCATAATCTCATACAGGAGTCTTACAAATGTTAAATGTCATACAACTGCAAATCTAATGGTTAAGTGACAGGTCAACATACTAATACCATATATAATTGACAACTCAGCATGTAGGATAGGAATCTTTAACTGCAATTATGAAATGTTGACAACTCAAGGTGGAAGTTATCCGACATGTATAACTCCCTTGTCTAAAGAATCTAACTTTTGGCTCGGGCTTGTGTGTTTCTTGTGCCTTTTATATACTAACAGAGGACTTCTATCACAGATTCTAGAAGATCCATCACCATCACCATCAAAACATAAGTTTTCACCTGAATTCAACTCCTTTGTTGGTGCTTGCTTACAGAAGGATCCAGATGACAGGCCAACAGCAGATCAGGTGAGAAAAATGCATATGCCCTGTTCTGTTGTAATCGTAGTGTCTGGTGTGTATGGTTTGGGATTCCATGACCTTAGTGATTTGTCTACCTACTAGTGTACCTGTGTTTCTTTGATTTATTTACTTCTAATGATCATTCATGTTCTTGCCTATTAGAAAGTATAGCATATCTTATAGGACATGTCTATCCTTATTGCTACACACAACTTATCATGTTAATCCTGTGTTAAAGCACTCCATTAAATACAGTCATGATGGTCATAACTTGATTAATTAGTGTTTCAACTGCAGTTGCTTCAGCACCCCTTTATCACAAAGTATGAGAATGACAACGTAGATTTAGCAGGATTTGTACGAAGTGTTTTTGATCCAACACAACGAATGAAGGACTTGGCTGATGTAAGTAGATGCCATATATTACCTGTGATTTTAATGCTTGTGTTTGCTTATTCTCTTAAGTTATTTGCATGATCGAACAAATTTGAGTAATGAAAACTCCTTGGGTCATTAATTGTGCACTTTCATATCATGGGTTTCAATCAATTCAACTATTATGATGCTTCTTTCAACTATGGAGTCTGAATTTTTTGCTTTAAGCTTAATGGGAGCAAGCTTAAACAACAAGCAGCTTTATCCTACTAGATAGGATCAGCTACATGGATTACACTGCGTCATTGTTAGTAAACTTCAACTAAATAATTTGAGAAGCTCTTATTCACCTTCACAGTTTGTCATTTACTACGAAAAAACAACTCCTTCATTCAAAGGATAATTTGATTTTAAAGTTGGATGGATGTTTTATGAGAATTTTGAAAGATTTAAATCTATGCTTACCGTTAATGAGTGTCTAACCATTTTTTCCTTTCCAGATGTTCACAATCCATTATTACTTACTATTTGATGGACCCGATGATCTCTGGCATCATACCAGGAGCTTGTACAATGAAGGTTCAACTTTCAGGTGCGGACTCCATCTATTGTCTTGATTCTGTTTAAAGAGCCCTGAAAAATTTAAAAATAAAACTGTCTTCTGCAACACTTGTTTGGACATGCCAATATATGATTGAATTAAAAATCCCCTACGAAACCTGCTTGAAATGAAACATAGAAAGAGTACTTAGTCGTTAATACAGCAGAACTGCTTGAAACTGAATTCCATCTGTATATAAATCTTATTGTCAAATGTATTATTCACAAGTCATCAATGGTACTAGATCATTTTAGACTCTGTACAAAGCATGGGCCGCACAATCTAGTCAAGACTAATGACCAAAACCATTATTTGGAATTTCCATGATATGAACTGTACATTTTTATCATGCCTTGGTGTGGAATGATGACATGCTTAGTTTTGCTTAATTGGGATATGGTCAAAGATTCAATGAATAATCGCTAATTGAATATAAAATGTCAAAATCTATAGAAATCTATCCTATTAATAGGTTATAAAGCCTAGTTCACCTCAGACTCTATGCAATACATGGGTGAACATGTCTGGTTAATTATGTGATTTTCAAAGCTTTCCATGCCATCAATACTATATTCTACATATTACAGTTTCTCTGGGAAACAATACGTTGGTCCAAACAATATTTTCACAAAAATATCAAGTATCCGAAGTACATTAGTTGGTGACTGGCCTCCTGAAAAACTGGTGCATGTAGTTGAAAAGCTTCGATGCCGTGCCCATGGTGAGGGCGGAGTTGCAATTAGGGTATCAGGATCCTTTATTATTGGTAATCAGTTCCTAATATGTGGAGATGGCATTCAAGTAGAGGGCTTACCGAACTTTAAGGATCTTGGAATCGATGTTTCTAGCAGGCGAATGGGCACATTTCATGAACAGTTTATCATAGAACCCACCAATCTCATTGGATGCTACTCCATAGCTAACCAAGAATTGTACATAACCCAATAGTGGTACTGGTCTCTCTGACACTGGGAATACTTCTCTGGTTCAAAGTCCACATAATATTTGGAGCACGGCTTCCCAGCCTTGTAGATTGTTTCAAGTTTTTATGTATTAATAATTATCTGTATTTAGCTACCTACATTATACGTTATCAGACCACACAAAGTGGCTTTGTTGTGTAGCTATGATATGAATAAAGAAAATTGTTAGAGAAGTTTGTGGACTCGAATTTTGCATATAAATGTCTGAATTATTCCAGTCTGCTCAGAGACTTCTGATGTTATTAAGAAAATTATGATTTTCTACTTAAAATGAGTCACTGTTCTTGATTGATCGGCAAATTTAATACTCCCTTCGGCCCTTGATATAGGACTTTCTTAATTTGTCACTGTCAAGCATTTTTTATTCCTTCCCTTGATGCCTTTGGTTGCTTTAATTTTCTTTCATCCAAGAGATTAAAATGGGAAAACTATAATTCAAAAAACTTTGGGAATGATAATGAAAACTTGTTAAAATTTTAAGCAAATTTAAAAATATATAGAACTTCAACTAAATTTCTTAATATTAGTGAATTAAATGGTCTTTATAATGAGAATAGGAGGCAATACATGAGAATAATTCTTATTTATTGTGACATTTCACAAATTTTCAACAAAAAATTATTAAAAAAAAAACACTCCACTCCTAGATGCTCCATGTTTCTTCTTCATTTTTATTTATTTGTTTTTTCTTGTGTTTCTCTCAAGACAACTTCGTATTTTCGCACAAGAACTAGATAGTCACAAGGATGAGGATATAATTAAGATATATGTCGTAAAACAATTGAATCAAATTAACACTTGAACTTGGTATCTGATTGAAATGACCCAAAAAAAAAAAAAAGGAAGGAAGAAAGAAAAGGAAAGAAAGAAACTAAACATCATGCTCTCTCAACTAAAATGAAGCCTATTTTATTCAGAGGCTACCTCATCCTTAAAGCTAGATAGGCCACAATTCTGTATCCAACAAACATAACAGCCAAGGCAGCCACATCCCCCCACAGGTTTTCAATATCCAAACACCTTATGGCAGGAAAATCCACTACCCTACAATGCAACCCATGGCCACAGTCATAGACTTGATCTTTTGAATACTGAACTCCCACCAGAAGCTCATAGCAATAGTGACTGAATGAGAAGTACTTAAGCCAAGCTATGAAAGAAGGCATTTTCTGAATGTAATAACCACCAGCTAGCAAAAACACGAGCATGGTCACAGAAGCCAGAGTTGTGGCTTGCTTCACATCCATTAGGATGGCCCCAAGGGCAAGGCCTATGCCTTGGGACACAAGGACATTGAAGAGGATGATCAAGAGGGTTAACACAAAGGTGACAAGTGAAGGCTTGAGGCCTCCCATCCAATAGGTGATTGTTGTGAAAATAGTGGGAAGCACGAGTTCCATTGGCAAGTCTCCAATCATTCTGGCCATGTAGTAAGAGGAGAGATGGTACATTCCTGATGATTTCTCTTTTGATAGCATTGGTCTCTCTAGAGGGAATGCTAATATTGCATTGAATAGAGGGAAGAATCCCCAGAAGATTGAGAAGAAGAAGAGCAGGCCCAGCTGTTGGAAGTATAAATAACACTGTTAGAAGTTATAAGAGGGGAAATGTACATTTTGCTACTCTGATTTGAGTGAATTGCATTCTCTTCTCAGGGTTCTTAAACTCTTACTCATTCTTCCTTGCTCTGATCTTACTTTATTTTAAAAATTCTCATGGCCTAATTTAATGCTCATACTCAGGTGAAATTTTTGAAGTGTTGCTGTCTAAGTGATTACTTTCTTCGACTTAGTAACACATGATTGAGTTTTTCAACAAAGTTTCTTCACAATGTATCTTTTCAATTATCACAAGAAATTTTGACTTGAAGTCTTGAATGATTTTACCCAAGCCCTTTCTATATTTTTAAAGCTAGATGTGAGCATTAAGTTTTATAAACTTTCAGATGTAATACCTGATCTTGTATGTTTGAGGGATCAGAATGCCACCACAGAAGTCCAGAGAGAAAAGAGACAGACAAGACTTGGAAAATCCTTAAGCCTGAATATGATTCATGCCTCCTCTCTTTTAAGCCTCTCTTCAGAAGCACCCTGAACTGCTCCCACCAGCTTGTGTTCCATTGATTCTCTGAACCTGCCAACCACCCATAATTAATAATCATATATATAAAACTTATAATGAAAATTGAAAATACATTTTATCCTCCTAAACTAAGTCTGGTTACATCTTAATGTGTAATTAAGTTCCAGTTGATGGGGTGAATTGCATCTTTTGCTAAATATAAGACCAAGAGGGTAAGAGAATTCCACTTACTTCTTCGTGTTCCTGATGTGAAAGCAGCTAGCTCTCTATTGCTTTGCTGAATCTCTTGTTTCAGAGAAGGGTATAAAATCTTCTTGTAGGATGAAACTAGGGACTGTTTAACTGAAGCTTGATCCTCATGGTGGTCTAGTGTTCCATGTAAATCTGTTTGACCATCCTGTTTGACATCAGCAACTACGCCTGCATTTTTTTTTTTTTTAAATATAATGGCAAGAATTTGAATGCATTATGCTCTTATTTTGTTGCAAGGATATTTTGATGCAAAGTTTTAAGTTAGAAATTCCAATGATCATGTAAGCACTCAAGTTCTATACTTTTAACAAGCACTCTTATACAGTAAACATATTCTTTTTTTTTTTTTGGGAGGGATTTTGCAAGAATTTATAATGTATGATATGCATTTAATTTATGTATGGAAAAAGGAAGATAGCCCATCTACACTTTGTCATGATTTGAAGGAGAAATGGAAGCAGGAAAAGACAAAAGAAACTCTTGACTAGTTCAAAAACTTTTTATGTGATGATCATGTGAATAAGACCTTTTGGAAAAAGATTGACATTTATTACATATTTTTTTCTCATACTGTTGAACATATACGTCTATACATACATACATATATACATATGGAATTAAAGGAACTCACATGTCAAAGAAATAGACTAAAGAGGGATTTTGTTTTTCTAATCAATGTACTGCTTGTATTGACCCATTAGCTGTTGCCACCTTGAAAAAATGTTCATGGGTATACAGAAAATCCAAGCCCCTTTTGCACCACCATTATTAATTTTGAAAACGATCTCTCACTTAATAATCACCAAGTGTCCCACAATCCTAAATTCATGCTTTGTGTCTGTGCCTCAATTTTTTTTTTTTTTCTGAAGTTGACATCAACAAAATCTTCAAATTTCCTTTCATGAGCGTTAATTTTTTTTTTCCCAAAGAAATATGATTATATTAGAAAAAATATATATAGAAAATAAGAATGCAATTTGATTCTCAAATATCTACTATAAATTTTTAGTAGTTTCTAACACTTATTTCTATGCAAACTTGCAAAGCATATACCTTATACAAATTATGAGTAAGTTATTATCTTTTCCTTTAAAAAAATGAAATAACCAAAGTCTCTCTACTTGGAAAAGTCATTATTTTTACTAGAAAAATATACTTAAATGTTGAATATAATAAAAATGCTTTTTATTTGAAAATATGATTTACCAAAACATGTATTTCTTAAACTTTTATTGCAATATATTATTCGGTTGGACTCAAAAACCATAAGTAGAGATGTTCATAAAATCTGAACATCTCTTTGAAAACAACAATGGTGTGACATAAAATTTTTCAAGTTCGAATAGAAGATTATGTATACATATTTGGTTAAAAAAAGTTTGAAGTTAAGATCTTTTTCCCTGAATCGATTTGATTATGGCCTTAATCATTTAAATCATACATTCAACCGGCCAGTGGCCACAAACTTTGGGTCAAATGACTTACCATTAGCCAAGTCAAGTAGAAAATCTGCCGGGTTAATAAAGTTGAAAGCGGGCACAAACCCGATGGACCCAAGATACTCCATGACCCGAACCGCTTTCCCGCTGTAAATCGGGTACCCATCCGACAACACAACCACCTTATCGAACATTCTATACAACCGACTCGAAGGCTGATGAATGGTCGTCACCACAGTCCGGCCGCCACGAGCCAGCCCCCGGAGCATAACCACGATGCGCTGTGCCGTCGTCGAGTCCAGCCCCGAGGTCGGCTCGTCCAGCAATAACAGACTCGGGTTCACAAGCATCTCCTGGCCGATACTGACCCGTTTTCGTTCTCCGCCGGAAATGCCCCTAACCAAGCTGGCTCCTCCGCCGATGGGGCTGTTTCGGCACCTGGTGAGCCCGAGCTCCGCCATGATGGTCTCGGCCTGCTCCATTTTCTCTTTTCTGGTGAGGCTCTTGGGAAGTCTTAGCAAAGCAGCAAAAGTGAGCGTCTCAAGGACAGTGAGGTGAGGATAGAGAACGTCGTCTTGTGTGACAAATCCGGTCTTGCGCTTCATGGAGCTAGAGAAGGGTTGGCCATTGTATGTTATGGAGCCAGAGACTTTCCCGGTTAGCCGGCCGGCGAGGGCAGTCAGCAGCGTGGTCTTCCCGCTACCGGACGGACCCAGCATTGCCATTAGCTCACCGGGCCGGACAATCCCTGTCACGCCGTTGAGTATCGTCCTCGTCACCTTCTGATTTTGAGAAGAAACACAGACACAAGCATTCTTCTTGCTTTCGATTGTTACACTGTAAGAGAAGTCTTCAAACTGCAAATATATATATATATATATATATGACATCCCAAGAACATTCCAACGTTAGAAAAATCAAACTAAACATTGGTAAACACGAACATGATGATCAATTAATCGCAGCTTAAACATAATTCAGATATGTTTTTGTGATCAGAAAGGCGTACTTTGAGCGTAACAGGACGCAAGGATTGGTGTAGAGCCGAAACTCTTGGTGTTGTTGGGTGGTGATCATGGTCGGAAATGGTGGTATCAAGACCAGGTTCTCCGCCGTGACGGCCCAAACCGGACGGCTCGGCGTGGACTGAGCCATTCTCCGGCCGGCTCACGACGGTCTGACTCTGCATGTTTGGCGTGACAGTAGCGACTGTGGTAGTTTCTTGATCATGAAGGGGCATCATCTCTCACAGAAAACTAACAAGATTCAGATAATATATACGATGATCAATATTTGACTGATCTCAATTGTATGAAAGACTATGAAGAACTAGAAGAGATGGCTGATATAGAACCAGAAGAAGAAGAAGAAGATCACACGAGAGAGGTATCGAGAGACTAACAATAAAGTGAGGAAACCACGAGAAGCACACGAAGGTGAGAGACTTGAGGGTGATAAGAACAACATACAAATGTAAATATATGTGTATATATAATTTTAACTTGAAACACAACCACCACCAACCATGTCTTGTGTTACCGTTTGTGAGTGCTCTAATTGTCAACAATAACCTTAATGTCCATTGTAATTTTTTTCTCAGTATATAACTTTGTATATGGACTATTATTATAACTAAATATTATAGTATATGAAAAACCACGTGTTATGTGGCAAACTAGTAAATTAGTATCTTAATCAATTCAATGAAATATTTTATTTATGATTGATCAACTATGGTAAGGTAAGGTATTAAAAACTAATTCGATCATTGAATTGGTAGTCAGTAGTTCAAGGATTAATAATTAAAATTATAATTACAACATGGGTAGACCAATTGTAAGTAGAATATTTTCATTGAACCAATCTAAGTACTAGTTTAGCAACTGGCCAAGTTGATCAGGTTTACAATATTATAGACCACGGTTTTTACTATTAAGCCTTAAATCAGTGTTTTAATTGTTCAATGATAATTTCTACCTTACTTCATACAAACATGTATAATATATATAAAAATAATTTTAATGTTCAATTAAGCTGATCACATCATGAATCACAGTTGCGTTATGCTGTATCATATGGCATCTGAATGTGTGTGTGAGAGAGAGAGAGTGTGAGAGACAGACAGAGACAGAGACAGAGACAGAGACGGAGAAAAAATAGGAGAATACATGAACAATGTCAATTAGGGCCCTGTGTGTGTGTGTGTGTTCCTGTTCAAGGGGCGATGTATGAATGTTGCATTTAACTGAGCCACATGTAAAATGGGGATTTGAGAGATTCCTTGTGTTCGCTGTACAAATGTAACAGACCAATGATTTTAAAGCTTAATATACATAAATAAATAATCAAAGCAATTGCTGGGGACCCCTCCTATATGAGATCTCGTGTTTATCTCCACTTGTCCCCAAAGTTTGTGTCTCCCAAATATTATTTTAATATGATCAATATTTCCCACTGTGTCGTCTGATCTATCATTATTCTTGAATTTATTTTATTTTTGACTGTACTGTTCATGCAAGACTTTAATTCAAGGCAAATGCTTCACTGATCTGGAGATTTTCTTAGGTGCTTCGTCTCATAGTCATAAACATAATTCATTTTAATTTATCCCCTTGCAAGTCTTTTATTGCGGTAATGGTTGATCTCTTCGTTGGACTAAAGTATTATATGATTGAAAATGGAACCTGAGATATTTAAAAACAAGAATTTTGAAGGAAAATATCAATTTGTCATTTGGAAAAACTATTGATATTCAAATTGCTTTATTTTCCCTTATTTGTGTGTGAACATACTCTCTTTCCATCCTTATTATGGTACACTTCTAACCACTTCACTGAAATTAAAGAAATGTAATTAAATAATTAATTTTTCATTAAGATGGAGTAAAATTTCAATTTTATCTGTATTTTAATATATTCTTCTAGTCCTATTTACAGAGCGTAAAAAGAGCATTTGTTTTAATTTTATTTATAGGACATCTCAATAATTATTATGTTCATCTTTATTCTTCCACCTCTATTAAATATTGAAAAGATTGTTAAATATTAGAGTATTTTAATTTTAAAGTATATATATTTAATAAGGATAAATTTAAAATTTTGTTAAATTTTTAAATAACGTTAAAGAGGTTTGAAGTTTTCCTTAATATTGATAAAAATGTTATAGAAGCAACTTACAAATAAGATTAAAAATAAAAATATTTAAATTTTATTAAATTTTTAAATAAGGTTAAAGTGGTTTGAAGTTTTTCTTAATATTGATAAAAATGTTATAGAAGCAACTTACAAATAAGATTAAAAATAAAAATGTTTAAATTTACATTACATTTTATCTTACATCATTAATGTCTTGAAATAGGAGTAACATTAAAAAACATTATTAATACTCCATCAAGTGAGTTATAATAAAGATAATCGGAATGCTATTTCATTTTCAAATATAAGTGAAATTACCTTATGTTTCTTTGCTTTTATTATAAACAAAATTATAAATTTCAAGAGGTATTACTTATATTTTTTTTTTCAAATTGTCCTTGTGGATGGATAATATCATTAAATCAGATGAAAAAATAAATATTAATTATAAGGATATTTTAGTTCAAACATTTAAATTTTAGATATAATTATTATAACAAAGGAGCATGAATAGTTAAAAATATTATACTTTAATTCAAAACCTCAACACTTAAAATTATGAGTTGTATAACTTTATTAATTATTTTATTTTATTTTATTTTATTTTAAATTTTTCACATCAACAACACGCGGTTGATTTACAAGGAAAAAGTCAAGTATGAATAATGTTGAGGACTTTTATTATACCTCTTTTGATCATTTTTATAAATCACTTTTAATTATTTTATCAAAATCAACAATGAGAGATAGTCAGATTGTTGATATTGTCCAAATTTTTTTTTTTGAACTTACCGTTAAAAAGTGGATTATTTTCAAAAGCATTTTTCTCTTTTATGAAACGTTTTATCGTCTACGCATAGAAAATTATAAAAGGGTAAAATGGAAATAAATTTTTTAATGATACACTTTTCAATGCAAAGTAATTTATAAAAGGGATTGTGAATTCTGTTTAGAAGGTGATTTATATATAGTACGGGAGAAGTAATTTGTATTTATAATAATGCATTGGACCAAACATGTTGATGATACCATATCCGTTGTCATTGGTTTAATATTGTTAATTTATATAATTGAGCACACATAATTTACCCAAAATTAACTTGAAATTCAAATCTCAGTCAGCATATAATTTTTAAAAAGAGATAGGTCGCAATATCTGATTATTTAGTTGGTAACAATAAAGAGCGATTATAATTATGTTGCTTTGAGAAGAGAATTCAAACTCAACAAACACAGTTTCACCTTTTTCCATATCCTTATTCCTAACTTTTTCTTCACAAAGCGGACTGAAAGTGAGAGGAAAGCTCAATATGACTCATATTTACAAAATTAATTTTATCTTTTATAAGTTTTCAATTTATTTCTATTAAATATATATAATATAAGGTAAAAGAAAAAATTTGTAATGAAAAATTATTAAAATAATTTATACATAGGACTAAAAAATTTTTTTTTTCTCTGCCTTATAGTTAGGAAGTGAGGGAATAATTAAGGTGGTATATAATAATATTTTATCAATTTTGATTACTTTTATCTATAACAAAGCTCCCTGTTATAAAATCTTGAACGCATAAATCTGTACAATTATCAAGGGAAAAATTTCTTCCAAACAAAAAATAAAGATACCTGTAACTATGATATATTATTTATAGTCTATAGTACTTCTGAAACATAAATAAATAATTAAGATCATCCTATAATTAATTTATTGGACGATCTGAATTAGGACACCGAATCACAGAAGAATTGATTTACAAACGGGTAAGAGAATCTACAAACAATCCCCAAAAAGAAAAATCCCCAGAAGATAAGCCATCCATCAAATTCTTTCACTGTTTTGGGTCAATTTTTTTTTTAAAAAAATATTTAGGATTTTAAAATTGAGTATCTCTCTTTTCATTTTTTCAAGAAAAATTAACAATAAAAAAGTGGAGGAAAATAAAGTAGTCTTGGGCTGAGGCCTTTATAGGTGTCAAGTATTGATTCACCTGAGGGATAGTAATGGAGATAGTGGCTCAGATTTTGTGTCCTCTTTCCCATAAAAAAGCTTGTGGGTTTGCACAAAGCAGTCACTAGCATTCAAAGTTGTATTCTTTCTTTAACCCTTTTTAGGCTGTCCGACCCTATTTGAAATATTTTGTTCCAAATTTAAGATAAAATAACTATAATATGAAAATTTGGGTCCAACTAATTTTGGCGGTCAAATTAATGTTTTTTAGTGGTTTAATACAATGTTTTATTTTTAATCAATTTAATCATAATTTAGCTATAATTTTGACCCTTAATTTTTATAGCAATGATTAATACAATGTTTTATTTATAATCAGTTTAATCATAATTTAGCTAAATTTTGACCCTTAATTTTTATACCAATGTCTTAATCAGTTTAATAATTGATCCAATTTTTAGTATTTTAAAAATTACTCTCATGATATATTCTATTCATCTCAATTTATGAGATATTTTTTCTTGCTTATTTATAGGATGGAGATAAAATTATTTTTTTTTGTCTCATTAATAATTTTTGGAGGAGCATTTTTGGATGAGATTTGATATTTCAAAATATTAGATATTTTGACAAAAAGAAAGTTTCATTAATAATTTTTTTTAATATTATCATTTTTGTTATATTATTTTTTTAGTCTTCTTTCATAAATGAAATAGTAAATGAATGGATTTTGAAAGTTTATATTTTTATTTTAAAAATTAAGAATATAAAGTATGTTTAATGTGTTTTATTAATATATGTAATTTTATTTAAAAATGACTTATAAAGTAGGATTATTTATGAATCCAGATAAATTAACCTTCTAATTTATTATTTGTTTGCTTTCATTTTTTTCATTAGTTTATATCTCAATTATATATTTTTAAGAGAGCAAGACGAATTTATTAAATAATTAAAATTTAAGACATTGAATTGAATGAATTAAATTTTAAAGACTGAGTTGAAACTGAATAACATTTTATGAATTCTATCAGTAATTTTTTTAGGGTTAAATAGTAATTTGATCTCTGAATTATAGATATAGCAACATTTGGGATATTAATTTTTTTGTTTTTTTTTTTGTGTAATGTTCCTACTCAATTTTTAAAAACAGCACAACACAGCTCCTATCATTAATAAAAATTAATTTAACTATTAATTGATTATAAAATGACAAAAAACTGAATTAAAAAATTATAAAAAAAGACCAAAAATTTTCTTGACTTTTCTTAGCCCATTTTGGTAATTTTATAGATTATTTTTTATAATTGTTGGGGTTATTTTTTGTAATTTTTTAGTTTCTTCTATCATTTTTTATTAATTAATTGTTAAAGTTAAC